CCCCCCCCCGGGGCCCTGCCCATTCTCTGTGCTGTATTCTGCAGACGCTCTTGGCAGTCTGTCTGCCCGGCCGAATGTCATGAACCTGGATGACGGGGACTCGTCGGACGATGGTGGTGCGCTTGCTCCGGCTCCCTGTGGCCTTATGGTCACTCCCATTTCTAGTCGCCCTCCTTTTCCCCCTCACGCCGGCCTGTGGCACCGGCCTCCGTCACTCCTCCTTCCATCCCTAACCCCGATGGTGTAAACATCACTCCCCCGCCATGGTGGTCCGAAAGCCGCCGCCCGCTCGCGCGCTGGCAAGTCCGCCGCCCTGCAGTCTGCCACCAGCATGGAGGCCGAGACCGGTGCGTTTTTGCCGCCTTTTCGCATCCCTGCCCTGGCCTTTGCTATGGCTGCCTCGTCGGGCACTGACCCGCTCATGTGTCGGACGGGCATAGTCGATCGGTCCAAGCGCTCGGCCGACCGTCTGGTCAAGTCGCGTGAGCAGCGCAACATGCTGCAGGAGCTGCACCGGGAGTTCACCGATGCGCCGGAGGAGATCGCCGAGGAGCGTCCGGAGGAGGACGACCTGGAGCGCGCGCGCACCGAGCATGAGGAGGCCACCTTCACTCGTTTGCAGGTGACGCGCAAGGACCGCGCCCGCCTGAAGCGCAACACCGAGCGCTCCAGCGATCTGCGCGACCTGGAGGAGTTCTCCGATATCACCAGCCTACAGGTGACCAAGGAGTGCGTCCATTGCCTTCCTTTTGCCCTGTGTTTCCGCCCCCCGGCGGGCTGATGTCCTTTGTTGTTGCCAGCTGGTCGCGAGTATGTGTGGGTGGGTGGGTGGGTGAATCTAGGGGGAACATACTGCGGATGATAGCGTGCCCTGACTGATGGACTCCTGCTGCTGCTTGCCACCCGCCACTGGGCCAGGCGCTCCGACTTCGAGGACAGCCTGGCCGCACGGCGGCCCGTGGCACAAGTGGCCTCTGCGTACCACGAGCGCCGACGCCTGGCCAATGAGGCCGCCATCAATGAGCAGCGTCAGCATTCGCGCCCGATGAAGCGTCTGCGCGAGCAGATCCGCGAGACCGAGGCCAAGAAGAAGCCCTCTTCGGCGGCCGGTGGCAAGCGCCCCCGGCGCTCTTGAGTGTACTGAGTCAGCTCGCGGTGTCCCTCCACGTGCTTTGCGCGAGAGTGCGTGTCTGTCACCCTGGCCGCCTCTGCCTCTCCCTCCGTCTCTCTTTCCCCCTTCTTCCAGGTATATGCCCTTGCTTTTGAGTGCGTGAATACGGGCTTGTGTGCGTGTATTGTATCAGTGTGAGCACATGTCCTCGTTGTCCCCCCCCCCCTCCGTGCAGGATAGATGTGCCTCCTTTGTCGTTGGCATGGCCTGTGTGGGTGCAGGGAGATGAGCGATGCGCGTTTGCACAGGCCCGCTGTGTTCGAAATCCGTCCGTCTTGCTTTTCCGTGTAAAATATAATTCCGTGTTTTTTTCCCCCCTCCTGCATGGTACTTTGTCGCGAGCTGCATCATGTCGGAGCCCGGCGCCGTTCGGTTTGGACACGGTCGTCGCGGTGGGGGGGGGGGTGGGGACAAGGAAGACATGGCGCACCAAGAGCACCCGTGTGCTCCGGTCGGAGACTCCCACCGGGCAACCAAGAACGAGCCCCTCTTGGCTGTGCTTTATTTAACTCAGGCCGCGAGGAGCCACGAATGCCAACGATACCGCCAGGATGGATGTGTTGGCGGCTGCGCGGTGAGTGGGCAGCTTGTCAATGCCCCCGGTCCTGGCGTCTCTTTTACCCCTGCATGTTTTTTTTTGTACTCCCACGAGAGAGGCGCGGACTGGAACATGAGAGGGGACGCCCCATCGGACAGCTGATTCCCCTCCCCCCTCGGGCCCCGCTCTCCCGGGGACATTCTGTTGTGCAGGCCGCAGGGGGGGGGGGGGGGCGGGGTCTCTGATGATGCCGGAGGTTGATGCATTTAGCTTGTGCAGAATGGAGGCGGGCTGGGGCGGGAAGTTGAATATAAAAATAATCCAAGGCACATATATAACCCGGCATTGTCGTCGGGCACACCAGCACCCTAAATCATCACCAAGGTGGCCCGGCTTCGAGGGCCCGCGGTGTGCGTGTGTGTGTGTGTGTGTGTGTGCTGCTTCTGTTTTCCTCTCTCACTCCGGCCAGTCCCTCGTCCCTTCTGTCTCCGGCCCCCTGGCCCCGCGCTCCTCCCTTGTCGGGGGCGGAGCCTATCCCTGTGTAGCGCAGCGCGGGGGAGCTGCGTGCGTGCGCGCGTGTGTGCGTGTGTGTGCAGGGAGGGGGGTCTACGGAGGAGGAATGTCCTTTCAATTTGCACTGGGGCGCCCCTGCGTCCGGACGCTGGCCGACAGGAGGTTGTTTGGTGCCCCTCCCCCCCGGCAGGCTGGGTCAGGGGGTCTGGCGAATGCCTGCCTCGCTCGCGCTGCCTCGCCCCCCCTCCCCCCCCTCCGCACTCGAGAGGCATGAGCGGCGCGGGGGTGTAACCGCCAGCAATGGTTCCCGCAAGAGCATGTGGGGGGCGGAGGGGGCGGCGGCGGCGGCGGCGGCGACGGCGGCGGCCTGCCACCCGGCCGGCGGAGCAATGGCTGGGTGAGATGGGTTTACCACGGGCATGTATCCCCCCGTTGCCGGGCGCCCCCCCTGTGGCGGTGGGCGGGTGCGTAAGCGCGCGCGTGCGCCCACATGCCCTGCGGAGCGGGGTCAGGCAAGGTTCCCGGGCCGGGGGGCCGGGGCGCGGGGTACGGCGGCCGGGGACCCAGGCGCGCCCGGCGCTTGGAAGATGGGCAGATGATGCGAGAGGGCCCTCCCAAGCTCGCCCCGGGCTTGGGGGACGCCATGCGCGCCGGGCTTGGCCGGTTCGCACCTTGCCCGCCCGAGGGCGAGCATGAGCCTCGAGGGGCCATCGTCAAGGGCCACGCCGTGTCGCCTCCGGGGGCGAGGGAGAGAGAGGGGGCATTTGCGCGAACTCGCGCCCCGGAGGCCGCGCGTGCGTGCGCGTGTGTGCGCCATCGACCAGGCGTTCCCACGAGCTGCCAGCGCGCCACCCCGCCGTTGACTGAAACAGCCGGCCTCCCGGGCATGACCCCTGCCCGGCCGGTTGCAGCCGACTGGTGTATGGGCCCCGAGCCGGCGGGCGTGTCTTCCGGCGTGCGCGCTCGAGCATCCCGCCTGCTCGAGGCCAAGCCCGAGCCGGTCGTCGGGCCGCGTCCGAGGGCGCCGCGTCGGCCGGGGATGGCTCATTTGTCTCCAAGGCCGCTGCCTGGGGGGGGGGGGCGCGCGGGCGGGCATGGGGCGGCGGAGCACGCCAGGCCGAGGTTCGCCCATGCAGGGTCCGACCGTTTCCCCCCGCCGGGGCGTTTGTTGTTGGATGCGCCACAAGCCGCCCAGCAGCCTGGGGGCGGCGAGGCCATCACCCCCGGGGCACGGTGGGGATCCTGTGTCTTGGACTGAGGGTGGCGGCGGCCGGGGTGTGACTGGTCGCCGGACGTGGATGGCATTCCGGCGGTCGTCGCCCGACCCCCCTGCCGCCGCCGCCGCCCGGCCGCCCGGCCGCCGTCATCAGTTGGGGAAAGGGTGCCCCGGCACGCGAGCGCTCCCGCGGTGTCGAGGAGCGGGCAAGCGCGAGCGGCCGCGCAAGCAAGTACGAGCGCCGGCTTTGGCTGGGCCCCAGCGCGGGCCCGAAAAATGCCTTGTTTCATCTCGTTCACACCGGGAAAGCGGCTCGCAAGTTCTACGTTCCTCCCGCCGCCCGGGCCCCCAGGGTCCCGCTGGCTATCGGCTATGTATGGGCTTTGGCAGAGGCACACACATGCCTTCGGGCCACATACCGCGGAGCATGAGTGCAACACCGCCCCCCCCCCTTCACCCATACCGATTCGCATATGGGCTCGCTCGAGCTTGCTCGTTCTCCCCAACACCCGGCCTGGAGGCGCGGCCCTCGGCGGGGCCCAGTCGTCCGGCCTTCCGGCTGTGCCTGT